TTCGATTCCTCCAATTCAATTCTTAACTACTTGTTCAGTAGTCTACTTTACAGTTCTTTTTTTGTAACGTATTTCTTTTCCGGTCAGCTTCGGAACCGGCAATCTAGCTAATAAACAACAACAACAACAAAAAAAAAATGACATAATTATGACTACATTATGATACAATAAATGAGATAAATATGGGAGAGATATGATTTAAAAATGAGCCATATATGGCACATAAATGAGTCATTCATGGCTCATTTTTTATCTCAGTTTTCACGGCCTGGGTAGTGTCACTTTACGGGACTAAAAATATTATACCTATACGTTTTCAATATCGCTCTTGAGATTGGCATTAGTAGATTTCTGTCGTTTCAACCTTCAACTCATCGCGACAGCGGGTGACAGTTACGCGTTAGACAAACAGTTGTTTTAGTTGGACATACGATAGTAGACGGTGGTGATGTTCCTTGTACTAAAATGAAATGTATAATGTTCTTTCTATCGATGGTGCTAGGTTCTGTTCAGCGAAAAGATCTCGGAACCTCAAAAAGCTGAATGGAATCGATTTGGCCAAGGTAGGGAATCTTTTCTATCAAGGTTTATTCATAAGTCAGAAAACGCTCAGTACATTTTATGATGTTGAGAGTGTCGTAATCCCCCTATTACATAAAATCGGTACAAATATTTTAAATTGAAATATTTGTTTTTACACTAATTGATCATAAATATAATAAATGCGAGATAGTGATGTACAAGACGAAAACCTATCAGTCGTTTTCTCTAACGTTATGAGCCCTCATTATGTTTATAACATAATACTGTCGATAGTCTATATAGTGCAGCCGTCTAGCACTTAACCACTCTTTTACCAAAGTTCTTCATCTTCTTTCACCTCATCGTCCTCAGCTAATTCCACTTCAATTTCCCACTTGCATCCGAAATAATGCACAGTTAAAACTTTCAGCTTTGTTCCCAGTGTCAGTATCGCTTCACGTTCTTCGGGACACGAACTCCATTTCCATATGTTAGCAATATCTTTCTTCTTGTTATTTGTGTGTAAAACTATGAGTGCATTTCCCCTGTAGGTCAGTAGACGGTCAGTAGTGAACGACAGAAACGAGTTAGTGTAGTAATAGTCGTTTCTTCGGTCCATATAGTAGTTGACTTCTGTATCACTCAAGTGCAAACCTCGGTAGTAAACGTGTTTGATATCTGTTTGGTATAAACCGCGAATTAAGGACCAAAGTCTGCTAACGTAGGCCCAATCGATTTCTTGCAGATTGGCACTGAGCAAGTTCAAGTTCGTTTTCACATAATAATCACTTGTGCGACTGTCCGTATAAGTTTTGAGGACGTTCAGCATGTCTTCCGTTAGTTCGTGTTCGTCGATCGCCGTAGGATAAACTTCTTGCAAATAGTAACCATACGGGTTCTTGCTCAACAACTTGCAGTTCACCAAGTTAGCCTCATAATCGAAATGGAAAGAGTCTGTCTCATAGTTTTTGGTAACCACAGATAGTTCCTTCGGTAAATAACGGCTCGATTTTGCATCAAAAACGCATTCCATGTCGCAACAACCTTTTTCTTTTCTTCGTTAAGAATGAATAAAACTTCTGCAGTGGAAACATCGTGTGCAATATTTTGCTTATTATACGAAGTTTTATGTGAAGAAATCATAGTGAATAACAAAATGTGACGCATGAAAGAAATAATTTTCTTTACCTTTCCTGTTTCTTTACTCAAGAATTATTCACGTTAAAAAAGACAGCACAGGACGTGTGTTTATGGAGCATGTAAAGGAAACGATGTCTTGCGTTTACTCGTAAACAGACTGCAGAATAGGTGCTTTACAAGGAGTATATATAGTGCAATGAACAAAGAGAGACCGAATGATCGAACGAACAATGAGAGAGAGATATTGAACATGTATAAAGAACGAGTGAACGAATTTCACGCACAGTGCGAGAAGGATATGTAATGAACACTGGGAGAAGGGAAGAATGTGAAGGACTGAGAATTAAACAATAGGATAGTGGTGATATAAGGTGAATCGAGAGTATATACGCACAGTAAGAGAAATATGAGTTATTGTTGGAGAAGAATTAACTGAATAGCTAGTGAGAGGAGAGATCGTATTTTGTTGCACAGCAGATTCCTAGAAGGTTGTGTTTTCCTTCTATAGCACTGCTTTTGATTGCGATTCTCACTCAGAATAGAAGATCTGCTGTACCGCATCGTACCAATAGTAGAAAATGAAACACGCGCGCACCCGAAACAAATGGTACAAAAAATGAAGGCCATTAAAATCTCCACCACTTTGCAGCAATGTTCGTTTTAGCGTTTGTAATCCCAAACATGTGCCGTTTAATTTCGTGTTCGCTATAGAAGTGGACTTGATAACATTTACAGGCAGGAATCATTGCAAAGCTTAGCGAGAACTCATTTCTTTTCGTCTTTGAAAGCTGTTCATTGATTTCATTTTATGTTACATTTGGATAGTCGTCAGTAAAAGCAGCGCCAGGCGTCATCCATTCATCGGAATGACAATTGAATTTCGATCTAGAACAGTATGTTAGTGACATCAGTTTTGAGTGCGATTCCACGTCGACAATGGCCAATACAAATATTTCACTCGAAAGAGAATTATAAATTTATACAAAATTCATGGTTAAAAGAATATCCAGGTAACGCTCGTCTGCAATCTCTCGGTCCCTTGACAATGTATACCTACGAACGACCTTTCATGACTTTGAATCCAAGATAAAGCTTACATCTCCCTTCGGTCGGCGTTCGCGATCCAACAAAGATCTGCAAGTGCTTCTGAACCGAAGTCAATGCTCACACCGACCTTCGGTCGCTGTGCGCTGCCCTAGAAAGATCCGCAGAGGTCTAAAAGTACTTTTGAAAATGAAGTCGATGCTCACGCCTCCCTGCGGTCGGCGTTCGCACCTGTAGTGTTTTTAATGACTGGTGGGACAAACGAGAGCAAAATAGGCTTCCTAGGACTGAGTGTAGCCTTGGACTGCACTCATTCCTAGCGTGTCGTAACCAGCATAACTGAGAAATGTTGTGAATTTCTCTGATTTCACGGAAAACTCGCACAATGTAACATAAATCTGAAAAGTTTTCTGGGCGCGCTCTGAAGATCCGAAGCGAGTCTGCAAGTATTTCTGATGGATTCGCCATATAGATTATCTATATTTTGTAACTTTTATTATCTGTGGATGACTTTTTTCATGTTATCAAAACTGACTGATCTATGGCAAGTGGTTAAGTGCTTAAATGTTTAAGCGCTTAAAGTGACTGCTGCTTATAAGTGCGTGCAACCTGTTAGGAGATCGTTTTCGCCTTACATTAGCACCAGTAGCGTCAATTTCCAAAATTATAATTGAAACTGAGGATTTTACATAGAACTGTTGCACAATTAGCTACTGCATTGAACTGAGAAATGTTTTCTTCTATTTCCTAGCGTTGGATTACAAAAGAAAACGTTTTAAAGATTTGGGTTTTTTACAAGATGTCCAAAAAACTTCTATTCTGAAGGTTGTTTCTCAGAGAGTTTATGATGTTAAATAACATTTTAAATTTCAAAAACAGTTTTAAACATTGGTGAAGACCCACTGTTGATCTCCGCTGTTTATGTAGTCAGCTAGGCCAACGCTGGATGTGCCGTGAACAGTCAATGCCCGCCACCAGACACTACGTAGACCGACACGAAATGTGCTACCTCCCAGTGGGGAAAGAATCCATTCCTGATTGGCGCCGCCCCACCAGTTGTACGTTTGGATGCCACCTGGTGTGCCGGTCTCGTCGTAGCAGTCAAGAGCGCGTCCTCTGGAGCTTTGGGGTGACAGACGATAGGTCCCGTCGCCCTGCCAGATTAGCTCCCATTTCTGGTTAGCCGCATCACCTCCTCCTATGTAGATTTGGACACCTCCAGTTTCGCCCATGTCATAGGTATCTAGACGGCTGCCCGGTCGTGATGAAACTGAGAGTCGATAGATCCCGTCGGGGAGAATACGACCCAATTCTTCTTGCATTTGCCAGTAGGCGTATTTTGGTTGATAGTTCCAATCACTTGGGAGAGCAACCCCATTAAGGTAATCGGAAAACGCAGGGATCCAACTGTATCTGTCGGTGAAACCCCACGTTATCAAGGCATGACATCTCGGGGAAAAGTGAAGCACGTATTTCAACAGAGCACGATAAAGAAGTCCTTGTTTGTGCAAATCATTGAGATCTCGAGGATGATTCCCATTCATTGGAATAGCAATATCGAGTTCAGTAACCATAAAATCAAACCCGTTATCTATCAGACGTTGGGCGTTCTGATAGTACTGGTCGCCAGGGTTGACCGTCGCCCAAAGACCGATGTGCCACTGCATTCCAACTCCATGAATGGCGACGCCCTCCGACCTCACCCATTTGACAAGTTCAAAAGCACTGTTCGATTTCGAACCCATATCTTCGGTGTTGTAATCGTTGTAATAGAGTCTGGCTTGGGGATCGGCCTGATGGGCGAACATGAAGGCGTATTTAACAAAATCTTGGCCCAGTTTTCGGAACCAAAAGCAATTACGCATGTTGAACGGATGGCCATTATTCTGCGCATCGTCAACCGCTTCATTGACTACATCCCAAGATGGTATCTTGCCTCGATAGCGACCAACTACAGCATGAATATAATCGCTCATCAGCGATTTGGCTTTGTCGGGTGTTATCGACGATTCTTGTTGAAGCAACCAGTGAGGAATGGTGTTATCGGTGGCCCACACCAAGGTGTGTCCGCGGATTTGCATTCCATTCTGTTGTGCCCAACCGACAGTGTCTGGGGTAGCGCCCAGCAGCCAGTCCGAGTCGACCCAGTCGTAATTATTTTCACCACGCCATAATTTCTGCGGTTTGAGATCGTTTTCCGGCTCGATCAAATGATAGTTCTTGATAACGTACGGATTGAACTGCCCGCCATCCACGTTGTTGCGCAAATGGTCGATCGATGCAGCCGTGCCAAATTGCAAGCCGCGAACGGAAGCGGACGCTTTGAGTCCGATAGGATTTTGAGCCTGAGCAAAAGCCAAGCATGTGACAACAAGTGATACCAACAACATGACCTATAAACACTTGGTGGCTTTATTCTGCAATCTGCTCATACTGAAAATAATCGATATGATAAATTTATGAAAGAGTAAAATGACGGTGGGTAGAGAGAATAATATTAGAACGTTATGCTAACACTCACCATCAGACTTAAAATCAGCTTTCTCGTATGCATTTTTTTAAGAGCACTAGGGTATTTTTATTCAGCAGCTCACGCTCTATGAAATGGTGTAAAAAAAGGCGAAAAAAAATTTTACTCGAAGTTTGAATTGCCTGCACCTTACTATTAAACTAGTTGATTTCTTGATATCTAAAAAATACTGACGTGTGTCGGTCTCTGTTATATAAGAAGTGAGATACCGCATTCCATTTCCGTGTCCTGCTTTTTTCCAGTGTCAACGGAGACAAAGCGTGCTGCTTTCAATCTTCCCGTTGTATACTGTTCTATGGAATACTTTTCTTGTACTTTAGAGGCAAAAAAATAATACTTTAAGTCTTTTCAAAAATTACAGTGCATGCATATAAAGTTTCATTTCTAATTTTCAGTTTAAAGTGAATCGAAATGAAAAAAATTTTGAAAATAATTTACTTAAAGTATTATTTTACTCTTTCATACACAGCAACTATATCGATTATTTTCGATAGGGGCAGATTGCTGGATAAATCACAGTATTCATAGGTCACAACGATGCTGTTGCTGTCACTTGTTGTCACATGCTTGGCCCTTATTTTCCGGACAAATTTCGATGTTGTTTCTTTCGGTCGTCGCAATTTAGCTTTAGTCTTCTCCACTTGATCTTCTACTCTCTAAAAGAGACGTATTCTAAAACCCAAAAGGATCTTTTGTCCACAAAACTGACTTTGGTTTTGTATAAGATGCAAAAAATCAAAATTGGTATCTCGACTGCTGCCAAACGGTGCTCTAAGAAATCAAAGGGCGTATTTCATTTCCATTAGTATATCAAAAAGGATTCAGTGGGCTACGAGTATTTGGTAACGCAAAGTACCAAAACAGTTCGATGCCCAAAAGGACGTCCTAAGATACTCCTAAGGGTATCTGCATTTGAAAGTAATAAGAATCGATTTTTGGCACTGTAGAAATAAAATATCCTTAAACATATCCTGAAAAATCAAAAAGATACTCTAAGATGCGGATAAATCGTACTTGTTAGTTTCAAATACAGATACTGCTTTTTGATATTGTACGATACGTTCCTTTTAGAGTGTAGCAGATGACATTTCTGCAGATCCCCAGGCGGTTGCTAATTGTGCAACAGGTTCATGTAAAATCCTCAGCTGTAATGCTGCAACGAGCTCCTAAGCGTGATTGCGAATAGTGACATCCGTGATCGAGAAATAAGACATAGGAATTCCTAACCTATTGGGGTGTTGTCAATAAAGTCATAATTCAAGCTTCGGAATTCCTATTTCCCAGTTCCTGAATAGTCCTCAGAAACAAATCAACCACGATGTTCGTGTACCAACTTGACAAAAACAATACAAAATGGACTTATACGTTGTGGACTCGATGTGATTCGAAGCACCACCACCAGTAGAGTTTTGGGTCTAGACTCATTTTAGCAACGTCTCGAAACTCAGTTTTTGGTACTGAATCTGAAAAAATTAGTTTCAGAAGCTGGAAAAAAAATAAGGTATAAAGTTTTGCACATTTCGAAAAAGACGTGTTTTTCCCGAAAAACGACACCTCTCGAATATTTTGTATTTTTCGACCGGAAGGAAGCATTTGCTATGGCGAAAAAGTGGATTTTTGTGATCAGCAGCTCACGCTCTATGAAATGGTGTAAAAAAAGGCGAAAAAAAATTTTACTCGAAGTTTGAATTGCCTGCACCTTACTATTAAACTAGTTGATTTCTTGATATCTAAAAAATACTGACGTGTGTCGGTCTCTGTTATATAAGAAGTGAGATACCGCATTCCATTTCCGTGTCCTGCTTTTTTCCAGTGTCAACGGAGACAAAGCGTGCTGCTTTCAATCTTCCCGTTGTATACTGTTCTATGGAATACTTTTCTTGTACTTTAGAGGCAAAAAAATAATACTTTAAGTCTTTTCAAAAATTACAGTGCATGCATATAAAGTTTCATTTCTAATTTTCAGTTTAAAGTGAATCGAAATGAAAAAAATTTTGAAAATAATTTACTTAAAGTATTATTTTACTCTTTCATACACAGCAACTATATCGATTATTTTCGATAGGGGCAGATTGCTGGATAAATCACAGTATTCATAGGTCACAACGATGCTGTTGCTGTCACTTGTTGTCACATGCTTGGCCCTTATTTTCCGGACAAATTTCGATGTTGTTTCTTTCGGTCGTCGCAATTTAGCTTTAGTCTTCTCCACTTGATCTTCTACTCTCTAAAAGAGACGTATTCTAAAACCCAAAAGGATCTTTTGTCCACAAAACTGACTTTGGTTTTGTATAAGATGCAAAAAATCAAAATTGGTATCTCGACTGCTGCCAAACGGTGCTCTAAGAAATCAAAGGGCGTATTTCATTTCCATTAGTATATCAAAAAGGATTCAGTGGGCTACGAGTATTTGGTAACGCAAAGTACCAAAACAGTTCGATGCCCAAAAGGACGTCCTAAGATACTCCTAAGGGTATCTGCATTTGAAAGTAATAAGAATCGATTTTTGGCACTGTAGAAATAAAATATCCTTAAACATATCCTGAAAAATCAAAAAGATACTCTAAGATGCGGATAAATCGTACTTGTTAGTTTCAAATACAGATACTGCTTTTTGATATTGTACGATACGTTCCTTTTAGAGTGTAGCAGATGACATTTCTGCAGATCCCCAGGCGGTTGCTAATTGTGCAACAGGTTCATGTAAAATCCTCAGCTGTAATGCTGCAACGAGCTCCTAAGCGTGATTGCGAATAGTGACATCCGTGATCGAGAAATAAGACATAGGAATTCCTAACCTATTGGGGTGTTGTCAATAAAGTCATAATTCAAGCTTCGGAATTCCTATTTCCCAGTTCCTGAATAGTCCTCAGAAACAAATCAACCACGATGTTCGTGTACCAACTTGACAAAAACAATACAAAATGGACTTATACGTTGTGGACTCGATGTGATTCGAAGCACCACCACCAGTAGAGTTTTGGGTCTAGACTCATTTTAGCAACGTCTCGAAACTCAGTTTTTGGTACTGAATCTGAAAAAATTAGTTTCAGAAGCTGGAAAAAAAATAAGGTATAAAGTTTTGCACATTTCGAAAAAGACGTGTTTTCCCCGAAAAACGACACCTCTCAACTATTTTGTTCGAGCTCACGCTCTATGAAATGGTGTAAAAAAAGGCGAAAAAAAATTTTACTCGAAGTTTGAATTGCCTGCACCTTACATTTCAGTCAATAAGTCTCATTTGTATTAAACGAGAGGTCTGTTCGTAGATTATCCTATTTGTTTAGGTCATCGGCATGTAAAACGCAAAAATATCTTTTACTCCTTGAAAAACAGTGCACAAAAGACATCTTTCCCACAAATAGAAGTAAACTGTTTTTTGGACTTAGAAACTTTTCATGTATTTATAATAGTTGATTGTCCGGCGCCATTTGTTCTTGAGACGAAATCTCAGATAAATATATCCTTATTGATTTGATTTGCTCAATATATATAAATATATATATATTGAGTAAATCAAAGCAAATGCAGCGCTAACAGCCTACTGGTAAGATCTACTTGGAGCGGTAGGTTCCACCAGAGACAGAGTCTGTCGACATCGCAACTTGTGCGCAGCGCAATTGCATTCTAGCTTCTTCTTTCTTTCTTTCTTTCGTCCCTTTTTTAGGTGAAATGTGCACCTTGTGATCTAGAGAACTACGAAAGCTAGAAAAATTAAAAGTTAAAAGTCTATTAAATAGACCCAGTATTTTAGTTATGCAATGATACTAATCATGCGCTTGCCGTATGGTGCGATCATTTTATGTCAGTTTTTCAACAATCTGTCCCTGTGGAATCTGTTCCTGACCGTTGCGTGACAACTGTGGATGCCGTCTAGACGGCCTAGTCAAGGAACCTGGCATCCAGTGAGCGTTTATAAGAACGTATGCACGGTTAAAAAAAAGCGTCCAAAAGCTGACGCTTTTTAGTAAGCGGTATTTTCGTTCCATCTTGGTATATTTTTTTGCTAGACGGTTTTTTTTCTGGACGCATGTTTAAAACACAAAATTTCCTCATAAAAGCGATTAAGGGCAAAAGAACGACGTTATGTCAAAAAATTCACCTCACCATTAGAAAGAGCTCGAAAGACCACATGCGATTCTGTTGTGTTGGATAAAAAGTATATCAAGCATCCAACAACAACTTTTATTCGAACAAAAACTTTTATCAGATTTTAGTCCAATTTATATTCCGATCGGGATATAGGCGGTGAATGCTTTATTGCTCAGAATGGGGTATAGTTTTGATCTAATCGGTTTTCACACCGACCGTCTTTTTTTATTTTTTATTTTCCGATATGCACATATAATGAAACGTACATTTCTTTTCTGATGCATAAATTTAAGCAATATATAAGCACATGTGCTTCGTGTTTAATGGGGAATTTTCCAACTATTCATTCATGCAGATACACTGTCTGTTATGTTTTTTATAAGTGAATCACAACTTGCTGTAACTTTTAAAACGCACAACAGTCACGAAGCCAGTATTTCTGAAGATGCCAACAGCGCATCATCGTTCGAACCGTTACGTCATTTATACTCATATTGCCTAGCACGGCAAAACCTCTTTCAAACTAATTTAATTTGATGAAAAACATGTTAATGTGAAAGTAAAAAGTTACGTTAACCAACGAAAAGTTTTCAACCGTAATTGTTCATTTTTATGTCATCTGTGTATAAATCAAATACAAAATATAATCAATGAATTATCATCGCCGTCACCTCCAAATCATGCAAATTTTTGACATCCTGATCGGAATATAATTTCAAACTGTATCCCATTCGAGATATAAAAAATATTTTGTTAAAAAAGATATCC